ATTTTGAAGAAAATTGAGCTACTTTTATGGGAACCTACTTACAAGGAATTTTCAGTGTGGTAGCTCTTTCAGGGCTGTGATTTTCTAAGTATTTGTAGCTGATCAAAAGCCTCTAATTCTGAGACATTCTGCCATAATGAAAAGATGTGGAAAAAATTTATCAGATAAGGCTTACAAATTAGGTTCCCATTTGGGCCTGACTCCATAATTACCAGCCTATGATCCCTGAGGAAAACTTCAGTATCTCAGCAGCAGCTGGAGGCTAGTGTATTTAGTCACTTTAAATGAACACAATGAGAAGTTCCAGAATCTTTTTTTAATCACACATGGGGAAGTCATTTTTTCTAAAGGGGCATTATTTAGAGGTTTTCTGGCTACCCTGAAAAAAAATCAGAACTATTCCTTTTTTCCATCTTTAAAGACAGAAATAAAAGCAGCCTCTAAGAATCTCAGACCTGGATAATGAATTCTCCAAGTTTATTATCTTTGACTTACATATGGAAAGAAGACCAAAAATAATGAACAAGCAATAACTTCAAGACTCTGGTCCATTTCTAAGGCTCTCTCCCATCAAGTTTTGGAGTTAAAAGCTTCTCCAAATCACTATCAAATTCCTTCCTCTACAACCATTTTGCTATGTCACACTTAGGGTAGAATTCCTACGCAATGTCTAATAAGGACCTTAAATAAATCTCACCATATTCTACTTCAAGTGAATAAAGCAACATTGTTCACCATTCTATGTATTGGAACACTATCCAAATTTGCTATAACCATACTTACAAATCAAGGATATATGGTTTGTTTTTTACTAAAAGATGAACAGTCATAGAACTAAATTTATACCATTTATACCATTATATCATTTATACCAGAAATGGGATGTTTCACCCTAAAAACATAAAATATGAAGACATAGAGGGAAAAAGGCCTATCATTTTTAAAAGTCAGAAAATCAATTTTTAGAATAAAAGACCTTTCTGAAAAAGGCTCTCAAAATACTTTTCAATTAGAACTCCTCGTGTAAAAACCTATGCTTTTGAGGAAATGGACAACAATAACACTGCTTTTTACAGGTAATTTTTACAAGTAAAAAAAGGCTAGGTACCAGTGACACATGTCTGTAATCCTAGCTAATTAAGGGGCTGAGGTCTAAGGATCCAAGAGAGTCCATGAGATGCCTATCTCCAATTAACCACCAGAAGTGGAGCTGTGGCTCAAGTGCTATGACACAAACCTTGAACCTAAAGGACAGTGTCCAGGCCCTAAGATTAAGCCTCAATATTGCCACACACACATGAATGCACAGACTTACAGTTAGAAAAAAATAATTCCTGCAAGATCATTCACCAAACCAATATAAAGATGGCCCAGAAACCCCTCATCTTGCTCTGTACTAAGCCTTTTGCTAAACTACAAAGATAACTCTTAAATATGGAGTACACAGATTGATCTTTCCATGGAAAATAAAAAACTGCACAAGTATAAGACTTTAAAATATTAGACTACTGAAGTTAAATGAAGAGCCAACAAGGACTGTGGACAAAATCATTTAAAACATTTTATGTCAATTTTTAAACAAGGAGGTAGGTAAAAATTACTTGCACTGTGAGTCCTTTAGCTATCAACAACAGTACTTCATCCAACCAACAAGGTTTTGAGCATAATAGTTTAGGTAGCCAGTTCTTAACAAGATTTCTACTAAGAAATGTTGTCAGGTACTAATCCTAACTACTCAGGAAGCTGAGATCTGAGGATCACAATCCAAAAGGCAGCCTGGGATAGACCCATCCCCAACTAGCCATCAAAACATCAGCAGTGGCAGGAATGGGAGGGAAACTCTGGGGAAGAGCGAGGGAAAGACTGACATTGTCCAAAAGGAAATGTATTCTTTTTTTTTTTTTTTGGGTCCGGTCCTGGGTCCTGAACTCTGGGCCTGGGCGCTGTCCCTCAGCTCTTCAGCTCAAGGCTAGCACTCTACCACTTGAGCCACAGTGCCACTTCCGACTTTTTTCTTATGTGGTGCTGACGAATCGAACCCAGGGCCTCAAGCATGCAAAGCAAGTGCTCTACCACTGAGCCACCTTCCCAGCCCCAAAAGGAAATGTATTCTACCTGACTTATTTAACTGTAACCCCTCTCTGCACATCACCTATATAATAACAATAAAAAAACATTTTTTTAAGCCCAAATGGCAGAGCATCTCAGCCTTGAGCAGAGAAAAACTAAGCACGGGCATGAGGCCCTGAGTTCAAACCCCAGTTCTAGGGGAAAAAAAAAAATAAAGAAAGAAAGAGTATTAATTTTTCAAATGATCACCAAGAGACTAGTAGAAGGCATAAAAAAAAAGTTAAGAGCTAAACAGCACAAACATTAATTACTAGGTATCAGGGGATGGAGACATGGCCCAGTTGGTAGAGTGTCAAGCAAAAGTGTCAGATACCGAATTTGAGTCCCAGTTTCATATCAATAAAATAGAAAAATTACTAGATATCAATTACTTTCAAAGAAACCATTTCTCTTTAAATTCTAAAGGCTCGTTCATTGTACATGTTGCTTGTCCTAGTAAGGCTCCACATACATCTACACACACACACACAATCAATCAATCAATCAATCAAATAACCACAATAAAAATGGCCAGGCACCAGTGGCTCACACCTATAATTCTTACTACTCAAGAGGCTGAGATTTGAGGATCTTGGTTCTTAGAAGCCAGCCTGAGTAGAAAAGTCGGTGAGACTTTTTATGGCCAATAAACTACTCAGAAAAAGCTCTAAGTGGCACTGTGGCTCAAATGGTAGAGCACTAGCCTTGAGCACAAAGAGGCTCAGGGACAGTGCCCAGACCCTGAACTCAAAGCCCCGGGACCCGAAAAAAAAGTCCATACAATTTCCATTACCCAAAGGGTTTATATTAGTAAATAATAATGTAAACAATCCCTTTATATACAATTCATCCTAAATATGTTTTCTTACAAGTTAAAGTTAATGATTCAATTAGAAGTTAACACACTGGTGTTTTAAAACTCTATTTCACAGGGCTGGTGGCTCATCACGCCTATAATCCTAGCTACTCAGGAGGCTGCGATCTGAAGATCACAGTTCAAATTCAGCCCGTGCAGGAAAGTCAGTGCGACTCTGATATTCAATTAACCACCAAAAAAACAGAAGTGGAGCTATGGCTCAATTGGTAGACCACTAGCCTTGAGCAAAAGAAGTGTCAGCGCCAAGCCCTGAGTTTACGCCCTACAACTGACATAAAAAGAAGAATCACTGAAATGGGAGACCATAAATGCAGGTGCTCCTTCTATACTTAATGGTAAACCAATATGCTTATTTTCTTTTCGAACTTCGCTCCAGAAATGAAAAGTCTTGTACCCAATAGCCATGCATAGTTTATTGCTACACATACTGCTTCAATGTTACTAGGCAGACACAGTCAACAGTAGGTAACTACCAATCATCTCTTAAAATACATGAACACTCACTGTGGCTCAAGTGACAGAACACTAACCTTGAGCAAAAGCTCAGGGACATGCCAAGGACCTGAGTTCAAGTCCCAGGACTGGCAAAAAAAAAAGCATGATCATGGATGTTAGGACACTGGACCCTGTGACAATTGTGACCATTCAGACAAGTTTAAGGCAAAAATCTTGTAACGAAACAATAATCTTAATATCAAACATCACAAGAGTTTAATCCCTAAGCACAAATAAACTTCGAATAACCTTAGAACCTACCTAGCACCTAGTTCTGGATTAAATATTGGCTAAATTGAAGAATAAACATATCTAAAGGATGGCACACATGAGAAATATACAGCAATTGTCCCTTCTTCAGAACATTAAACTAGATATAGCTTTTAAATACTAGATATAAAACAAATGTAACAAAACCTAAGGTTATTGCCTAGTATGAGAGACACAAGTAAATGTGTCATTTGTGAACCTGTGGAATCTTAATTCATTCAAACTGTATATTCTGATTGTCATCAATAATGCTTACTGACAATAACTAGGATCACCACCAGAGGTCACCTACAGTTTAAATAAAAGGAGTAAACTCCTTCAACTATGGTGAAGTCCACCTATCAGTATAGGAATTATAATAAATTTGGTTTTTGCCAAGTTTAAATTAGAAACAAAGCCAAATTCTCACTTCCAAATTCTTTGTAAAGATGAGTAGTTTAGATCTTTATCTTCTGTAATTATGTGACCAGAAACCTAACACCCCTCCCACTTCAAAAGGTCTAAAAAACATCTTTATAACGGAACTACTCTAAAAATGATAACGGACATATTTGATTGGCAGCTCATTTAAGACTCCCTTTTCCGGGCTGGGAAGGTAGCTCAGTGGTAGAGCGCTTGCCTTGCATGCTCAAGGCCCTGAGTTTGATTCCTCAGCACCACATAAGCAAAAAGAAAAAAGCCGGAAGTGGCGCTGTGGCTCAAGTGGTAGAGCACTAGCCTTGAGC